TTCAATTAATTAATTATTTAAATGGAATTGCTTCATTATATGTTTATGCTGAAAAATCGCATTTCTATATAAGCTTTAATTCTCAATTTTATCCATTTTTCATCAAGATACAAATGTAGAGATTTTACTCAGAATCACCACAAACTTGTTATGATTTATGGGTTACGGGCACTGGGCAGTTGATGTTGCAAATTTTCAAAGCGAATTTTTATTTTGATCCAATACAATATTTATTCACAAGTCACCTGGTTAAAGAGCATCAATGTTATAACTGTTTCTAGTGCTTCTATGATTATAGGACACGATGTTCTGTTTTCGTACGCATATTCGTCTATTCTGGTAAGTTATTTTGAGATGGAATCTTAAAACTCCATACATTATTGAAATTTATTAACTTTTTTACATGAAGATATACATGAAGTGGATAAAACTTCGATTTTACGCGCTGATTATAGTGTGGTTGATGTTATATGATTCTTCTTTCTGGGTCGTTACTGATTCAGCAGTTGAATGTTCATTAGAGTATCACTAGTTGTACTCCAATTGGTCACTCTTGAATTTCATCAAACCAAACTAGACTACAAATTCATTGCATTGATAAAGTGGGTGTTGAAACAATACGCCTCTACTCTATAGACTTTGAATCTGATGTATTTTTCACTACAATTATATTTGTTTTGTAGTTGTGTCCCCTATAAGTTGTTATAGCCAGCCATCTTTGATGAACATAAAAAACGAAAATAATTATGAAAAGGGATAAATTTTTTGATCTCTTTAGATTTAAATCATTATACAAAAACCAAGAAGATAATGTTGACTATAAAGAAGTTCAATGAAAAGGTCAAGTCCAAGTTAAGACCAAAAAAGAAAAATGATCATAATCAAATACTAGTACAATCCAAAGCTCCACTGCAAAACAACAGTATTAATGCGCCTTATCCACCAAATGAATTCCAAATGAAAGTACAACTGATCTATCTAATACTCAGTGATCCTATGATGTTTCTCAGATGCTGTATAATGCTAATAATCATGAGTGGAGTGGTGATATTAATGATGAGTTATTGTCTACAAATGACACAAAATGTCCTAAATATAGTGGAAAAAGTCGTTATTGATGGGTTGAAATGGGGTAGTTTGATGGGTACTTGGCCCACTATTTATAAGCTTGTATTGAGAGTGATTGGGATATAAAAATTAGGGATTTAATATGGAATAAATGAGGTTTTAATTGGGTTTTCACTTTATAAATCTCTATTATGATTACGTAATTTGATAGAACGGCTTTAAACGGTGCACGGCACAATTTCCGTAAACGGCAATAACCGACCATAAGCTCATCTCCGGTTCGCCCACAAAGCCCCCGGAATTATTCCCAATTTTTTTTTTTCAGGTGTGTAAAGTTTGAATTTTAATAGTTTGTCAATGTATTTGGAAATAATACATAAACAATAGAGTTCAATTTTGATGATATTAGATGCCATGGACGAGTCATTCCGGCATTTCACCATCAACACAGCCATAGACAGCAGCAACAATGAGTCCAATAAGCGACAATTACAATTCCCAGCAGAGATTCTATTAAAAGTATTGGAGTTTCAATTTTATCAATTATTACAAAATAATACATCTTCAAATTCTTATAATATTCAATATTTCATGAGATCTAACCTAACGGTATCAAAGGTTTTCTATAGATGTTGCATCAAGATCATTTATAAATATTGTTGTTTTAAAACTCCACAAACTTTTGATATTTTTTTGAATTCATTAATTAAAAATGATAAATTAGGTGAATATGTTAAAGTGTTGGATTTCCAAGAATTTACATCAATTGGATTAGGTCGTACTGGTAAAATGAATAAAGAAATTCAAATGGTTACTTCAACAAC